GCGAAGGTTCACCTTCCAACTGGACAACGACCCTAAGCACACAGCCAAGACAATGCAGGACTGGCTTCGGGACAAGTCTCTGAATGTCCTTGAGTGGCCCATTCAGATCCCGGATTTGAACCCAATCTAATATCTCTGGAGAGACCTGGAAATTGCTGTGCAGCAACGCTCCCCATCCAACCTGACAGCGCTTCAGAGGATCTGCAGAGAAGAATGGAAGAAACACCCCAAATACAGGTGTGCCAAGCTTGTAGCGTCATACCCAAGAAGACTCTATGCTGTAATCACTGCCAAGGTGATTCAACAAAGTACTGAGTAAAGCGTCTGAATACTTATATAAATGTGATATTTCTGTTTTTTATTTTTAATAAATTAGCAAAAAATTCTGAAAAGCAGTTTTTGCTTTGTCAATATGGGCTATTGTGTGTAGAGTGATGAGGGAAAAAAGCAATTTAATCAATTTTAGAACAAGGCTATAACGGAAAAAGTCAAGGGGCCTGAATACTTCTAACTTTACTTTCTGAAGGCACCGTATATATACTGAACACAAATATAAACGCAACATGTAAAGTGTTGGTCCCATGTTTCATGAGCTGAAATCAGATCCCAGAATTTTTCCATACGCACAAAAAACGTATTTCTCTCAACTTTTGTGCACTAATTTGTTTACATCCCTGTTAGTGAGCATTTCTTCTTTGCCAAGATAATCCATTCACCTGACAGGTGTGGCATATCAAGAAGCTGATTAAACAGCAAGATCATTACACAGGTGCACCTTCTGCTGGGGACAATACAAGGCCACTCTATAATTGGCAGTTTTGTCACACAACACAATGCCTCAGATGTCTCTAGTATTGAGGGAGCGTGCTATTGGCATGCTGACTGCAGAAATGTCCACCAGAGCTGTTGCCAGAAAATGTTAATGATAAATTCTCTACCATAATCCGCCTCCAACGTACACTACCAGTCAGAAGTTTGGACACACCTACTCATTCAAGGGTTTTTCTTTATTTTTATTATTTTTTACATTGTAGAATAATAGTGAAGACATCAAAATTATGAAATAACACATATGGAATCATGTAGTAACCAAAAAAGTGTTAAACATATCAAAATATATATATATATTTTTAGATTCTTCAAATAGCCACCCTTTGCCTTGATGACAGCTTTGAAAACTCTTGGCATTCTCTCAACCAGCTTCATGAGGTAGTCGGAATGCATTTCAATTAACAGGTGTGCCTTCTTAAAAGTTAATTTGTGGAATTTCTTTCCTTCTTAATGCGTTTGAGCCAATCTGTTGTGTTGTGACAAGGTAGGGGTGGTATACAGAAGATATCCCTATTTGGTAAAAGACCAAGTCCATATTATGGTAAGCACAGCTCAAATAAGCAAAGAGAAACGACAGTCCGTCATTACTTTAAGACATGAAGGTCAGTCAATATGGAACATTTCAAGAACTTTGAACGTTTCTTCAAGTGCAGTCGCAAAAACCATCAAGCGCTATGATGAAACTGGCTCTCATGAACCAATTTTGACCTTGTGGCTGTGGTAACTAGTGACAAATCCCAAACTTGGGGTCGGGGCCCCATATGGGGTCTCCTGAGAAGAAATGTACTAATCTCATCAAACAAGTTAGGAACTTTAAAATATAAGATAGGTTTCAATCTGTACATGGCCTATCTTCCCTATAGGCCTACATTAAAATGCAATCAAAACGCAAAAAATACAGTTCTAAAAATGTCCTACGTTTAACAGTACAATTGTATAGCTCATAGCCTATGTGTTTGTAGATAGACTGAGGTGAATGAACCTACAGCAGCCAAAGTGATAATGTCTTAAACCCTGGTTATGGCTCTGTGCACATTTCATGTGCAGTCAAGTCTCTGTCAATTAGAAGCAGTACATGTACTTTGCTTTTTGGAAGCAATTAATGTTTAGTATGAGCTACTGTTATTGATTTTGCTAGTTCTTTAAATCAAATCAATTTGAATTTGTCACATTCTTCATAAACAACAGGTGTAGACTAACAGTGAAATGCTCTTAGAGGTAATTTTCCAACAATGCAGAGTTAAAGATAAAGATACAAAATTAAATAAAAAAATAGAAATAGTGACACGAGGAATAAATACACAGTGAATAATGAATAACACTAATGAGGCTATATACAGGGAGTACCAGTACCGAGTCGATGTGCAGGGGTACGAGGTAATTAAGGAAGGAATGCTTCTCCCTCTCAGATACAGTGGTGGAGTTTGGTTAGTGTAACATTTTGCTAGCGGAGAGAGCAGGTGTCTGGGACAAATGTTTGAAAAGTTCCCCTGAGTTGTCGTCACTAGTTAACACAGACATAAAGTCATAATTATGGCTAAACCCCACCCATTTCTACAATGTCTCTTCTTAAAATCTGATTTTAAACCTAACCCTAACATCAATCCTAATCTTAACCACACTGCTAACCTTCTGCCTAACCCTAACCTGAAATTAAGACTTAAATTTTTTTGTGCCAATTTTGACATTGTGGCTGTGTTATCTAGTAGAAACCCCCCTGAGGATTGTGGAAGATCCACTAGATACTGAACACTTCTTGGTCAGATGATAAGGGAAGATTCGGTATTTAGGCCAAGACTGCTGATGTATAGCCTATTACCTGGAAAAACCCTGCCCTGGCATGTGTATCGTGATTGCTCTGAAAGGTTTCCAATAATTGTCAAGTAGTCTGTTCAGGTCACAACTTGTGAGGAATATATCTCAAACTCCATATGGCCATATTTGTTAACCTTTTCTAGAATGTAACAAACCTGACATGAAAAAATGTGCATCAGTATTCAACAGTGTTTAATAGGCTTGAGTCTGAGAATGTAATTCCTCTCTAATGTATTGATGAAAGTAGTTTACAACAGCTAGGATTAATCATGTGATATATACACACAATGCTGTGTTAAGTGACCTTCACCATTAAAATAAACCCTTTCATGCTCAGTTAAAAGCCCTGCCACTTTGATGACTGCCACTAAGAGACTCCCTTTAAAACTAATCTGTTTCCAAGAAAATGTTATTTCAAATGTATTTGATTGATTTTACGATTATTACACTGTAATGTTACTATAACCTTGCACCAGGCTGTTGTCACTGCAGTGCTGCTAACTAACAAATCAGGTCAAACAGGCTAGGCCACTCCAGGACCTTGAAATGCTTCTTACGAAGCCACTCCTTCGTTGCCCGGGCGGTGTGTTTGGGATCATTGTCATGCTGAAAGACCCAGCCACGTTTCATCTTCAATGCCCTTGCTGATGGAAGGAGGTTTTCACTCAAAATCTCACGATACATGGCCCCATTCATTCTTTCCTTTACACGGATCAGTCGTCCTGGTCCCTTTGCAGAAAAACAGCCCCAAAGCATGATGTTTCCACCCCCATGCTTCACAGTAGGTATGGTGTTCTTTGGATGCAACTCAGCATTCTTTGTCCTCCAAACACGACGAGTTTAGTTTTTACCAAAAAGTTCTCTTTTGGTTTCATCTGACCATATGACATTCTCCCAATCCTCTTCTGGATCATCCAAATGCACTCTAGCAAACTTCAGACGGGCCTGGACATGTACTGGCTTAAGCAGGGGGACACGTCTGGCACTGCAGGATTTGAGTCCCTGGCGGCGTAGTGTGTTACTGATGGTAGGCTTTGTTACTTTGGTCCCAGCTCTCTGCAGGTCATTCACTAGGTCCCCCCGTGTGGTTCTGGGATTTTGCTCACCGTTCTTGTGATCATTTTGACCCCACGGGGTGAGATCTTGCGTGGAGCCCCAGATCGAGGGAGATTATCAGTGGTCTTGTATGTCTTCTATTTCCTAATAATTGCTCCCACAGTTGATTTCTACAAACCAAGCTGCTTACCTATTGCAGATTCAGTCTTCCCAGCCTGTTGCAGGTCTACAATTTTGTTTCTGGTGTCCTTTGACTGCTCTTTGGTCTTGGCCATAGTGGAGTTTGGAGTGTGACTGTTTGAGGTTGTGGACAGGTGTCTTTTATACTGATAAAAAGTTCAAACAGGTGCCATTAATACAGGTAACGAGTGGAGGACAGAGGAGCCTCTTAAAGAAGAAGTTACAGGTCTGTGAGAGCCAGAAATCTTGCTTGTTTGTAGGTGACCAAATACTTATTTTCCACCATAATTTACAAATAAATTCATTAAAAATCCTACAATGTGATTTTCTGGAGAAAAAAAAGCTCAATTTGTCTGTCATAGTTGACGTGTACCTATGATGAAAATTACAGGCCTCTCTCATCTTTTTAAGTGGGAGAACTTGCACAATTGGTGGCTGACTAAATACTTTTTTTTCCCCCACTGTATAAGTAGTATTAGATAATAAGTATATTATACTATATGCACTACAAAATAAGTTGGTATTTTATTTATTTTGTATAAAACAAATCGCGACACAAATATTCAATACAAATACAGTATTTACAGATTCAATACACAAAACAACACATCTTTAAGACCTTTCACCAAATGAACAGACATTTTTTTATAATAGTTTGTTATGAATGATTATCATCCTGTGTATATACAAGTGTAAATTACATTTAAGAAAATTCACAGTAAAACAGAAAAAACTGATAGCATTGCTCACCCAGGTGGATAGTTTATGTGTTGTCCTGGCAATGGGAGAGGGGCCCTCATTACAACTATGGATCTAGTAAATTAACAATACAGCTATGAGCACAACGATTTAACAAAGACAGAAACAGAGTAGAGAGCATGACACTTGGTAAAAATGTCTTCTTCCTGTAAAAAAATTATATATTACTTCAGAGATCCTCCAACTGTCACAGAGCAGCAGAGGTCAAATGGCAAACATGGTGTAGCTTAAGGTTCAGAGGTCACGAAATAAAGAAGAAGTCTTTGAGACTGTAGAGTCAGAGTAAAGTATTTTGTTTCTGAACAGTGTCTGAGAAAGAGCAGGCTGGGCTCAGAGTGGGCAGGAGATCCAGGCAGGGCTCAGAGTGAGCAGGAGATCTGTTGGAGATAACTGGTCGTGCTGTTGTTCAGTGTGTTGTTCAGAGCCCAGTGGTCGGTGTAAGAGAGGAGATCTTCAGCCATTGGTTGTCCTGGGCTCAGTTCTGTGTATAACTGCAGCTCTATTTCTGACCCTATAAGACAAACAAAACAAAACAAAGCCGGTCAGTAATGCAAGAGAAACACAGCTGAATGAAGTTACAGATTACCTCTTATGTTGTTCAATGTTGAGAGCAGCCTTGTTAGAGGATTTTGATGTAATGAAAAAATAAAATAGGGAAACTTAGGCTCCGGTGTGATCATTCAGTTCTTGTCCCTGCCATCTGTTTACCTTACATGCATTATCATGTTTCACACCTTATGCAAATGATGAAGGAAATACTTCAAAATCTGTTTCTAAAGGCCCTTGGATTCCAGCAGAGTTTTATTTTCCTGTTGTAGTCTTTAATTTTGACTAGCAAATGTTACACAAAGACAATACATGCAGACATGATGAAATCCTGCTGTTGAATAGTACAGTATAACAAACAGCCTGATTCCCTCTAGCATCATTTACCTGAGTTATCACTCCATTGGCTCTCTGGACTGTGATTAGACTCTGCTGTGTTGTATGACTCTGCTGTGGCTACTTCATTGCTCAGGAAACCCTTGATGTTTACACTGTCTTGCTGCTCCAATTGCTCCAATTGCTCCAATTGCTCCCAATGCTGTGCAATCTGAAAGAGCAAAACACAGGGGATAAGCCTGGTTGCATTTTTGCTTGGTTTAACTGTGTTATAATTTTTTGTATTCAATGCAGAATATCTGGTAAACATGGGTATTCCTGATAATGAAAAAAGCACACTGAACGTGTACTGGTAGAGACAAACTTACCTCAATAAGGGTTTCTTCATTCATATCTAGACTGTCTTCATAGTCTGTAAAGTTGAAGAAGGAAAATTGACATGAGCATTGCGCAAACCTCAATTATATTTGCAGCCAACACTGAAACACAAAGAGTTGAATCAAACCCAAGCATCAAGCAAGCATAATCTTACCTGTGGAGTGATCCGGTGACACTTGGAAAGACGGGTAGTATTCGTTGGTGCCTTCTGGGCATATTTCCACAGAGGTGGAAAAGTCTGGAACATCAGCATTGGTGCTGTCTGGGCCTATTTCCACAGAGGTGGGAAAGTCTGTAACATCAGGGTCGTACGTTGTAAAGTCTCTTGTCCTTTGTTTCTTTTGTTGGGACAATGTTTAATGTAAATTCTGCAGCATTTGTATATTAGAGTCTGGTAATCATAGACAGAGCCATCAAGATATGACGCTGCTGTGATGGTCTCACCTAGGTTGTATGTGCTGTCGACTGTGCTGTCGACTGTCCTCTCCTGTGTCGTTCTGTCCTCCTGCAGGTGTGTGTTGGTGTTGCGGTCCTCTGGGCAATGGGTTTCACTGTAGTCCATTTCCTCTGTCTTGATGTTTAACCCCTAGAAGAGAAAACAGCAAAACATGAAATAAGATTGTAATATTCATCTCTGTTGACACTGGTCTTTATACAGCCAGCTAAATACACATGCACCGGTCTTTATTCAGCAGAGGGAAAACAGTACTACATGTGATGATAAAGGGATTCTAAAGAGGGTTGCAGTTCAAAAGTAATATAACCTTACCTTGTTGTTATTCTTTGCATCCTTTGCTTTTGACCTCTTGTTATTTGGCTTTGTGCAGACGTTCAGCATTCTGTAAACGCGCACCGCTCCAGACCCTCTGTTGATGCTCTTGTCTTTCACCTCCTTGATGTCAAGAAGGGAGTTCATTGCATTGCGGAAATTAAGCTTCCATGTCTTAGGGTCTGGTGTAGTCTCGCCTTGTATGAATTTCCCTGCATCAACAGACAAGTAATATCATTGTTATTACGATGCAGAAATTATATTGAAAAACCCTGAGGTGCTGAAGTGCATATTGTTAATCTAGGTGAAAGTCCATTATTATGAGAGGGGCTATTCCACAGTAGGTAGTCTAGGTACGTGTCATTTTCTTACCTGTGTGCATGGCCCATTGCTTGAATAGACAGGCATCCTTGTTCAGGTCCCATCCGTGAAGTGCAGCATGCTTCCATGGGATGGAGAAAATCTTCTTGTCCTGGACAAAACCACAAAGAAATGGGTTTCAAATTAGCGCCTCCTTTCTCTCACCCCAGCTTCTCCTGTACATGCCTAGTTTTGAGTAGTCCTGTTCATGGGTAATAGTACTAAATCTGTTTTGAGTTGTCAATGTCTCGACTGAGTACTCTTCTTAAAATGACAGTGTCCCACTGCAGTGTTTCAGGGAGTATTGTCTAAAAAAAGCATTAGATGAGTTTGACGAGCAGGAAAGTATTACCTTGTCCACCCACACCAATCCACTGATGGAGTTGGACTCAATCTTATCCTCCAGCCAAGGCCTCATTCTCATCCTAGACACAGGCATGGTTCCTGGGAGATCAAGGAGAAGAGATAAGCTTAGTTTTAAACACATGGTATTTAGATGTACAAGCATGTCACTCCCACCCACTACCCTGCTCAGTTAGTGCAGATGTTTAGTGCGCTCAGTGAAGTTCATGACCAGGAAGTGTGATGTAGCGACTATGACCATTGCCAACAACTGGCAAATTACTGGAAATCTGTGCAAATCAGTTAAAGAGAGCAGTACTTCTAGTATGTCTATAATGTGCATTTTAGAACTACATTGAAATTATTTAAAAGTGTTCTAATTATCTTATTCAAGCAGCTGAAAGGTTATGCTATACAGTGGTGTAAAGTACTTGAGTAAAAATACTTTAAAGTAGTACTTAAGTCGTTTTATGGGGTATCTTTAATATTTATATTTTTCACTACTTTTACTTTTACTTCACTACATTTCTTAAGAAAATAATGTACTTTTTACTCCATACATTTTCCCTGTTCGATTTTGAACGCTTAGCAGGACAGGAAAATTGTCAAATTCACACATTTATCAAGAGAACATGATCCCTGATCATCCCTACTGTCTCTGACCTGGCAGACTCACTAAACACATTTGTAAATTATGTGAATGAGTGTTGGAGTGTGCCCCTGGCTATTCATAAATAAATAAATAAAAACAAGAAAATGGTGCCATCTGGTTTGCTTAAAATAAGGAATTTGAAATGATTTATACTTGTACTTTTACTTTTGATACTTAAGTATATTTGATCAATTACATTTACTTTTGATATTTAAGTATATTTAAAACCAAATACTTTTAGACTTTTACTCAAGTAGTATTTTACTGGGTGACTCACTTTTACTTGGGTCATTTTATATTAAGGGATCTTTACTTTTACTCAAGTATGACAATTGGGTACTTTTTCCACCACCTGATGCTATATCGCTATTTATGTTGCATTCGAGGTTAAAGGGAGCGGGTTCTTTAGAAGCTCTTCAAAAGAACTAACAGACGTATTCAACCACGCAAACTTTAGTCGTGCACTGAACAAGTGCATGCATATTTTGACCAATGCATTACAGTGCCTCTAAATTAGTGTTGCAACCTTGACCTACTAAAACTTGCAACTTTATATTTTAACTAGAACTTTTAAAAAGTCATAAATATACTAGTGCAATGTTGCATTAATTATAACTGCATTGTTTCACTTCTCGTTAAATTCACAAATGAGCGCACCTCGAGTTCTAGCCTCCTGTCAGTGTAAATCAAATCTGTCAAAATATATGGGATATATATGCCCAATGACAACGCACGCTGCTGCACACATGGAAAACCAAATCCCAGTCAATTGAATAGAAAATAGCCTATACTATAAATTACAAGTATATCTGCTGTAAATATGTACAAACGTTTCCACGTAGCCTTGTGCATGCAATAATAAAATAAAATAACTTACAGCTGCAATATGATGTCGCTTAATCCCAGTGATTTGTAATTGAGCATAAAAGCAGGTATTCCCTTTAGTGAAGATGGAGCGGGATGTTATTCCTCTGTGATTCCTTGTAATGTTAATATCCACTCTGGTCTTCATTGGCAGTGTGTACAGTCTGCTCAAGGAAACGTTTTTTTTATATAAAGTGGGTGGGATTTCCCTAATACAGTTTCATGCACACACTTCATTGGTGGGGGGGCAGTTTTGGCAGCAGTCGGCATCTGCGCTGAGGCACCTCAATGCAGGCGCGCTCAAACTTCAGGCAACATGATTTCCGAGAAACCATGCTGTTGTGAGAGAAGGCGTAACGAGGAAGTCTTGAGCAGACCCAATAAACGCAAATATTGCATGATGCTGCACGTAGCAGTATCATGACGTTTCATTTTACAATATCTTGGTTCAGTGAAGTAATCATTCCACACGTATTTCCGTCGTTTAATTTAATGCAGCCCAAATCCTAAATAATGACACATAATTAGAGAATAAGATTGCACTATTTTATAGCATAAGTAAACCAAATGCAACCAGAGGGTTAGTGTCCTATTCTGTAATTGATGCAACTATATCCCGCAAAGCATCAAACAACAGCCAAAGTTCAGGCGAGGGCAAGCCCTAAAGAATAAATGGTAGTCGAGTTGCGCTTTTCCGGGAAATGGTGTAGGACAGTATTAAAATCACCGACAGGGGCAGTCTTGACTGTTCAGTTGACACAGAGTTGTGTCACAGACTCCAGTCCAGACTTAATGTAAGTCACTGCTGACAACAGTGCGTTTCTTGTTTACATAAGATAAACAAACAGGGGCGGACTGGCCACTCCGTAGCCAGGCCCACCCACTCAGATTTAGAAAAAATAAATACAAATATATTTACAAATTAAAACAATTTTTACTTGTCAGTGTTCCAAATGGGATATTATATGTATTTTCACCTAAACATGCAAACACCATCAGATAGAATTCTTAGCAAGCAGGAAACTGGGTTAGTCAGATTTGAAGAAATATAACAGAACAGATGACCTGGAATGACATTCAATCTCACGGGATGGGTTGCCAAAAATAACTAACTGAAAGCCACCCCAATAAGCCACGAAAATGACTGCAGTAAGGATATGTCACTGTGCTTATATGGCTATATGCACCATGCCACTGACTATTTCATTTGTTCATTTATCAAACAAGATGGATCATAATCCAGTGCCTTTTTCAGTCAACACAACTACATTTTACCTTCAGTTAGCTTTAAAATGCTAAATTTTCTCTCAACCTCATGGCAAAATGTGTAGAATACCATGAGATTAGCTATAAAACTGCACATTTTTCTATTTGCCCAATGTCAAAATATGTACAATTGCAGGAAGTTAGCTTCTTTGAGGGGACCACCGTATTTTAGCTAGCTAACAATAGCATTGCTAGCTATTTTTGATTAACTTCGCTAGTTACAGTAACGGCAACATTTCCATCTCTCTAAAGTAAATTAGAATACATCATAATATGGCAAAGATGTTTCCTACAAATTATTTGCCTACTTTAGCAATGTCATTGGATTTCCATGCCACTCTAAATTAGTGTAACTTAGACGAAACACTCACAAATAGCCTCCGAGGTGCAACCTGTGTCTAGGGCACAAATAAATATTGGATGCAGCTATGGTGGTACTAGCTAACTCATGTCTGACTACAACAGTGTATTAACTAGCAACAAACTCAAACCAACCCAGGGCCATAGCAAACCATGTCACAGTTGGTTGCATAGTGTAACAGCATCACCGGCCTGAATCTATCCAATCTGGAGCCAGTCAGTCTACATCTGTAAAGCATACAATTAGCTTCCAAATGAGATTACGTCATTTCTCGAGCTATGTTTATAATTGAGGGATGATGACAATCATTGACCGTGTTTTTCTGTTGGACAAAGTGCAAAATGTGATTGCAATGGTTTAGTGACCTCCAAAAATAATTGTATTCACTGTTCACTTGCCATGTTCACAGCTTGACATCAGCCAACTGCTCGCCCATACGATAACATGCACTCTGTAGCTCAGCTGGTAGAGCACGGCGCTTGTAACGCCAAGGTAGTGGGTTCGATCCCCGGGACCACCCATACACAAAAATGTATGCACGCATGACTGTAAGTCGCTTTGGATAAAAGCGTCTGCTAAATGGCATATTATTTATTTATTACGTGGTCTGCGGTTATGAGGCCGGTTGGACGTACTGCCAAATTCTCTAAAACGACGTTGGAAGCGGCTTATGGTAGAGAAATTAACATTCAATTATCTGGCAACAGCTCTGGTGGACATTCCTGCAGTCAGCATGCCAACTGCAGACTCCCTCAAAACTTGAGACATCAGTGGCATTGTGTTGTGTGACAAAACTGCACATTTTAGAGTGGCCTTTTATTGACCCCGGAAGGGATGTCCACCAGAGCTGTTGCCAGAGAATTGAATGTTCTCTACCATAGGTGCACCTGTGTAATAATCATGCTGGGTTTTTTTTGTGTTTTAAAAAACGTTTTACCCCTTTTTTTCCCCAATTTCGTGATATCCAATTGGTAGTTACAGTCTTGTCCCATTGTTGCAGCTCCCGTACGGACTCGGGAGAGGCGGAGGATAATCATGCTGTTTAATCAGCTTCTTTATATGCCACACCTGTCAGGTGGATGGATTGTGTTGGCAAAGGAGAAATGCTCACTAACAGGGCTCCTCGTTTTTCTTCAACGAGGCGGCCGCGAAGGATATCATACAGACACCCGACAAGGCCCAAATCCCCGTCATTCGCGTGAGGAAGAGACAGAGATATCGCGGACGAAGATCGGGGTGCCTTGTAAGGATCCGACGGCGAGCGAGTAAACTGCCTCTTCCATCAATCCTATTAGCCAACGTTCAATCTTTTGAAAATAAAGTGGACGATTTAAGATTACGGTTATCCTACCAACAAAACATAAAAAACTGTAATATCTTATGTTTCACGGAGTCGTGGCTGAACGACAACAATGATAACATTCAGCTAGCAGGCTATACGCTACATCGGCAGGACAGAACGGCTGACTCTGGTAAGACAAGGGGTGGCGGTCTGTGTATATTTGTAAACAACAGCTGGTGCACAAAATCAAATACTAAGGAAGTCTCGAGGTTTTGCTCGCCTGAGGTAGAGTATCTTATGATAAGCTGTAGACCACACTATTTACCAAGAGAGTTTTCATCTATATTTTTCATAGCTGTCTATTTACCACCACAAACCAATGCTGGCATTAAGATTGCACTGAATGAGTTGTACAAGGCCATTAATCAACAGGAAAACGCTCATCCAGATGCAGCGCTCCTAGTGGCCGGGGACTTTAATGCAGGGAAACTTAAATCCGTTCTACCTAATTTCTACCAGCATGTTAAATGTGCAACCAGAGGGAAAAAAACTCTAGACCACCTTTACTCCACACACAGAGACGCATACAAAGCTCTCCCTCGCCCTCCATTTGGCAAATCTGACCATAACTCTATCCTCCTGATTCCTGCTTATAAGCAAAAACTAAAGCAGGAAGCACCAGTGACTCGGTTAATAAAAAAGTGGTCAGATGACGCAGATGCTAAGCTACAGGACTGTTTTGCTAGCACAGACTGGAACATGTTCCGGGATTCTTCAGACAGCATTGAGGAGTACACCACATCAGTCACTGGCTTCATCAATAAGTGCATCGATGATGTCGTCCCCACAGTGACCGTACGTACATACCCCAACCAGAAGCCATGGATTACAGGAAACATCCGCACTGAGCTAAAGGGTAGAGCTGCCGCTTTCAAGGAACGGGACTCTAACCCGGACGCTTATAAGAAATCCCGCTATGACCTCCGACGAACCATCAAACAGGCAAAGAGTCAATACAGGTCTAAGATTGAATCATACTACACTGGGTCTGACGCTCGTCGGATGTGGCAGGGCTTGAAAACTATTACAGACTACAAAGGGAAGCACAGCCGCGAGCTGCCCAGTGACACAAGCCTACCAGACGAGCTAAACCACTTCTATGCTCGCTTCGAGGCAAGCAACACTGAAGCATGCATGAGAGCACCAGCTGTTCCGGATGACTATGTGATCACGCTCTCCGTAGCCGATGTGAGTAAGACTTTTAAGCAGGTCAACATTCACAAGGCCGCAGGGCCAGACGGATTACCAGGACGTGTACTCCGAGCATGTGCTGACCAACTGGCAAGTGTCTTCACTGACATTTTCAACATGTCCCTGACTGAGTCTGTAATACCAACATGTTTCAAGCAGACCACCATAGTCCCCGTGCCCAAGGACTCTAAGATAACCTGCCTAAATGACTACTGACCCGTAGCACTGACGTCTGTAGCCATGAAGTGCTTTGAAAGGCTGGTCATGGCTCACATCAACAGCATTATCCCAGAAACCCTAGACCCACTCCAATTTGCATACCGCCCCAACAGATCCACAGATGATGCAATCTCTATCGCACTCCACACTGCCCTTTCCCACCTGGACAAGAGGAACACCTACGTGAGAATGCTATTCATTGACTACAGCTCAGCATTCAACACCATAGTGCCCTCTAAGCTCATCACTAAGCTAAGGATCCTGGGACTAAACACCTCCCTCTGCAACTGGATCCTGCGTGCTCAGTCCCCTCCTGTACTCTCTGTTCACCCATGACTGCATGGCCAGGCACGACTCCAACACCATCATTAAGTTTGCCGACGACACAACAGTGGTAGGCCTGATCACCGACAACGATGAGACAGCCTATGGGGAGGAGGTCAGAGATCTGGCCGTGTGGTGCCAGGACAACAACCTCTCCCTCAACGTGACCAAGACAAAGGAGATGATTGTGGACTACAGGAAAAAAAATAGGACTGAGCACGCCCCCATTCTCATCGACGGGGCTGTAGTGGAACAGGTTGAGAGCTTCAAGTTCCTTGGTGTCCACATCACCAACGAACTATCATGGTCCAAACACACCAAGACAGTCGTGAAGAGGGCACGACAAAGCCTATTCCCCCTCAGGAGACTAAAAAGATTTGGCATGGGTCCCCAGATCCTCAAAAAATTCTACAGCTGCACCATCGAGAGCATCCTGACTGGTTGCATCACCGCCTGGT